ATATGTATATAAATAAATTTTAATTAGATTTTTAAGACTTGTAGTAAGCGCTCCATAGGCTCGCTCTTGAGATTTTCCAAGAAAACATTCAACTAAAAGTTGGACCGCGAATGAGTATTATTCACTCAGCCCTCAGAATTGTTTTCATTAATATGTATTATTTTCTTAAATTTAAATTAATATTAAAGTACTGCCAAAATGTTTGGTTTTGGCAATCCAATCATAAGGAATAATTTGAGTGGCATAAATCTTAATTAAATGATACAAAGGTTTTCCAGCTTTGCAAAAGTCTTCAGTAAAGTTTTGAGTATTCCAAATGAACTTGAAGAGAAATTAAATTTATTTTCATACTAATCCGATAGAGAATTAAAACTCAATTTTAATAGGCTTATCGTTTGATGGTCTTTATGAGCCAAACATTGCTACAGACATATATATTCGTAATTCCCAAAATTACAACAACTTTTTGCTATGATAGGCATTGTACTGAAAAGGAAATATCTAAGATGCATAACATTAAAATTAGAGCAAATCCAATTATTAATTTTGGCTTTCGGCCTCATTGAACTTTGAAAACGATTTTATTGTTTTCTTGGTTGTAATTAGAAATCGGACGAAATGTGACTCTGTTGTTTATGACGCATATAAAATGCGAACTCTGTCCCGGCCCACCAAGCAAAAAGAGAACGAAAGAAAAAAAGTCATAATTGCCAACATTTGCTATATTTCACAGGCAAATAAACCAGTTGAGTTGCTCGGTAGACCAAGGCTGGGCGTCATTTAGCAATTACATAACTGAGCGGACTGACGTCAGGCATCAGCCTTCGGAGTTTTTGGTGAGCAACTGAAATGGACGGAGAGCAATTCGCCTCAAAGTCGCTGTCGATATCAATTACGAGGCCAAAGGCAACTGTCTTCAAGCGCTGCCCAATAATAATTGCAGAACTAGCGACAGGACAATGCGGACGGATGGGTGGCTGGGCGGGACATGGGCGATGCTGGTGACGGTCATTAGAGAGCCTCGGAAATTTATCTGCGTTCAATTAAAAAACTTTTCAAATTTCAATTAAATGGGAAAATTGGCATATTTAGGCGCATGACAAACGAACCATGCGACTATTTACCATTCACCATTCACCATTCACAATTTACCATTCACCATTCACCATTTACCATTCAGCATTCAGCATTTTGGAGCGGAGGCAACACGGCTGCCAAACTGCGCAGCCATAACTAAGCCTCGGGATTATTTTGTCAATTTCAAATGTCCTGCCATTTACAGCATTTTAATTCGGGCCTGGACTGGGCTGGCTGCAGGCTCTGCCGGGACAGGGACATGGCCAGAGTTGGGCCCTTTTGTTGTGTTCGGCTTGTTGTAGAAATGTTTATGAAGCAATTAGGCTCTGAGCTGAGAACAATGCGACCAAATGGCTGCAACGGAAATTTTAAAGTCTTGTCATGCTGCCAAACACCTACAGCCAGACGAGGCGAGGCGAGGCGAGACGAGGCGAGGCGAAAGGCTATTGCCATGCTGGCTTTAACTTTAGCGCCAGCCAGGGGTGTCATTTTAGCTTTTTTCCCGTCAGATCTGGCTTTATTTGAAGTCCCAATGCGGGAAAAATTTGAAAACGGCGGGTTGCGGGAATTCTGGCTTTAAAAAAATTAATTTAGCTCTATTTTAGCTTTATTTAATTTTCACGATTTATTTTGCTTTTTATCTTTCTCAACACTAAAAATCATGAATACAAGTATCGATACATGATTTTATATCATACAATCTATCGAAATCATNTTTAAAAGATTGAATACTTTATAATTTGTATATATGTATATGCATATACATATATCTATAATTTCTACGTTAATGGTTTTAGGTGTCGTTATTAAATACGTCTCTGTTGAGAGTGGAGTGATGATTTCGACGTTCCTGATTTTAATATTTCTCTTGAAAGTGGAGATTCCTTGTCTATAGTTGAAGGAATCAAACAATTAAAAACAAATGAATAATCATAAATGAATTCAATTAAGAAAATAGTGTTTTTTAAACCCAGCTTTTATTTTGGCTTATTTTTTCTTGAATTTAGCTTCTTTTAGCTTCTTATTTTTGCCAATCTGGCTCTATTTGCTCGAAAAATTATGACAGCACTGGCGCCAGCTCATCGTGACAACAAAAAGATTAAAATCTTGTTACGCCTTCGCCTGATTTGGGCCTTTGTGCTGAGACAATGCCAAGCGGCAGCATCATGATGCTGGGATTTTCCTTAACTTTTGATCTATCTTTCGATTTTTTTTTTTTTTTGTAAGTAAGTCAACTGCGGGTACTCTCACTTTGTGAGCGTCTTGTGACTCTATTGACCGTCGAGGTAAGTGTTAGAGTATTTGGACATCGGCTTGCTGAAGAAACGCCAGCATGCCTGGCTTGAGCTTGCAATGTTTTTGTTGCTGCTGTGAGTGAGTGAGAGGCCAAGTTGGTCCATTACTCCCGCTTATGCTCCAACTCATGTGGCTAAGCGCTCAAACTTTTGGCTGCAAGAATTGTGGGTTAGCTGCAGCTGCTGCTGTTGTTGCACCTACCTTGGCGCGCATCTGGGCGAGCACCTGCACAATGTCGCCCCGCAGACACGCATACATTAGAGTGGTGCAGCCCTCGGCGAGACGACTTCTTATTGCCGTAGTCGCATCCGCAGCGGCGTCCGTGCTCGCATCCGCTGCCGCCTCCGCATCCCGCTTGCTGCTGTCTGGGGGCGTCTTCGACTTGACTGGAGTTCGCCTCGGCTTTGTCGCCCTCGCTGCCATTGTCGAGGCAGCATCAGTGGCTGCCGCTGCACGTGATCGTCCTGGCAACGGACTTTGGAACTGCAGTTGTTTCTTGACGTGCGTTTCGGCATTGTTGGGCTTCAGGCGCGGCGGCTTGGCCGGTGGCGCCACGGACTTGGCTTCCGTTTGCATTGTGACCGAGCTGCTTTCCTTTGAGCTTGCGGGCAATGCGATTCGATGCGTTCATTTTACGAGTACTCAACACATAGTCAGAGTTTAATGGAACGCACACGCACACGCACACGCCCACCCAGACACACACTCACACACTTTTAATTATAATTCCAGTTCGCCGACTTACAGTTCTATTTGGATTTGCTGCCTATGTATAATTAAACGCTAATTTGTTTGCGCGGAAGCCCTTGCCACATGCGGGCCCTCTTCACCCTTCACTCTTCACTCCTTGCTCTACACGACTCTTCGGCTGGCTGCGGTTAATGGTGACAGTTTTGCTCATACAAAGTAAATACGTTCGGGGCTTTCAAGCGTAAACGGAAGTTGTGTTACATGTGTGTGTGTGTATCTCTGTGTGTGTGAGTGTGTGTGTGTGGGTATGTACTCTAATGTGCCAACTGCTTTCGCTCGAACGCCTTTTAAATTTTCAACAGCCTACGACATGCGGTGAAACTAGCGCGAATCGACGCGACGGGACGCGACGGAACGCGACGCACATCAGCAGCCCTTTCAATAATTAATTTCAGTTTTTATCAAAGCACTCACACACACACACACACACACACATGTGCACACATATGAAACTTGGCTGGCTGACTGGGGAATTAGATGACGCTTTGCTAACTGTCAAATAGACAACGACAGCAGCCAGCTTGTATCCCCCAACACCCAACACCCAGCACCCACCCCCGCCTCCACCCCGCCAATCCAGCTATCCGCCAGCCCTTGATCAGCGCAGCGTCGAAGCGCACAAAAGTGTGCTATGAAAAATTCAATACGCTTACATTTGATTTAAAATTTTCCTCAAACTTCATACAAACACACACACTCACACACACTAACACGCACACATGCACGCTGGTGATATCAAAGTAAAATTCGTTGTTAAATCGCGTGGCAAAATAGTTTTCGATATAACGACTAGACAAAATAGACAGAATTTCAAGAATTTTGTTTATTTTCGGCAATCATCATGTATAAATTATGACAATGCGGAAAGCAGCATGAAAAAAGGTTCTTAGCCCATGATGATAATGATTATGATGATGATAACGAAAGGCAAAAGAAAAAGCAACGGCAACAACAACAGCGACAGCAACAACAACAACAACGACAACGACAGCAGCTGCTACTTTTTGCCTTTTATAAAGCGATAAATGGCGAAAACTGCGCAAACCTATCGGTTGATTGAAAACCGAAATGGAATTAAATAAATACGAGAGCGCGCATGCAGATAGCTGCGTTGATGGCATCGCATTGTGGCAATGGAACGGCGATTGCCACGCATCGCATTAAATTTGAGAGCACGTAAATCGCCCGACTGCGGCTTTTATCGATGTTGCCTCTGCCATCTGCCATCTGCCCCAGCCCCAGCCTCTGCCTCTGCCTATGCCTCGGCCACTGTCACTCTGCCTCAGTCAGCCTGGGCTGCAGCTGGTACGTTTGTTGCTTTGCGGCCGCTTTTTGTGCGGCCCGCAGAAGATTTACATTTCATTTGTAGGCAACGATGACAGCAAACACTGCAGCAACGTCGCCACTTGATGATGATTTCGCCAAGGTTTACGAGGTGCTGAGCATCGTTGGCATCGTCGTTCGCATCGCTGGCGTCTTCGACACGCGTTCGTTTTTAATAAATTAATAAAAGACAAGAGTGCTGCCGTCGGGCGTTATCGACTGCGGAATACACATTCGCAAGCCAAACGTTATCAGCTTAACATACTAACTTGCCACGCCCCCCGTGGGCAGATCGGGTAACTAAGCACGACTATATGCTACAAATTTGTATCTAGTTTTTATATAACATCCAAATGGCTGCAAGACGAGCATTGCAGCAAGCCAATATACTCTTCTCACTGCCGTGAATGTATACAAAAGTAAAAAGTATACAAAAAATGGCTGCCTCGCGCCGCAGCGTAAGCCCATAAAATTTCCATCCAGCAAATAGTGAAAACAATTTAACGGCTTGAGACAGCAAACAGTTGCAGCCTCATTAGCTGGCATTAAGATTTCAGTGAATGACTTAAATGACCGAGAGTTTCGACGTAAGCGGACGACAGTAAGTGGGCAATGAAAGGATCAAACTGGAAAGGAGAGGACCAGCTGGACGATCTACTGCTCAAAAATGAACAGGATTAAGGAAAAGAAAGAAGGAAGCTTCCTGGAGGGAACTATAAACATATTTTTTACGATCACCGACTGATTTAATCAAGTGGAGAGCATTGAGGAATAGGAGATCATCCCAACGACAAGGCATAAATAAAAGATTCTATGCTCAAGTTACACTCACGCTCAATTTCTCCCCTATGTATATTAGAATACTAAATAGAAGTTGTCGCTCCTCGAAGCTATGAGGAGAGCAACACACCTCAAGGCAGCTCAAACAACATACATACACACACACATAAGAAGACGATCTTCTCACTCTGCGACTGTGTGTAGGCATCTGCATGGAGATCGAAATCAGCTGTACTAATACAGATGAACAGACTGAGAGACGGATATGACTAGACCAACTCTGCTCGCCGTTCTGTTCTAGATTATATACACCATTTGGGATTTGACATGGCTCCTTAGGCCTTGGGACATATATTTTTACAGAAAACCTTTGCAGCCTGTTTTTTTTTTTTTTTATACCCTGAACCCATTGAAAATGGGAAATCAGGGTATAATGGTTTTGTTAAAAGTATGTAACAGGCAGAAGGAGGCGTGGCAGACCCCACAAAGTATATATATTCTTGATCAGGGCGACGANTTTATACAATTTCGGTTTTTGTTAAAATTTATCCTCCACCCCTATATTCACCCCCTCACCCTCACTTTTGTAAAAAGCGTATTTCAAATACTAGAGACTTGGGCTTTGGAATATACACACATATTCACCATGTGATTATGCTCTAAAAGTTTCATTAAGATCGTATGTCTACAAAAGAAATTATTTAACAAATAAATTCTCATAATATTGCCCACACTGCAGCGCAGCCCAACCGCAGTCGCTGCTTACTGCGCAGTGAGCAGAGCGCAGGCTTATGCGTGCGTGTGGATGCATCTGTATGTATGTGTGCATAAAAGAAGTGCAGAATGATTAGAATATCAGCTTGGAGGGTTCAGGGTATCTCCTAGTCGAGCAGTCTCGACTGGAGCTTTCTTACTTGTTTTTTATTCTGCTAATGAGATATTTCTGCTTATAAAATAATATTTTTTTGTATATGTTCTCACTAAGAGAATGAATGTGAATATGCTCTAAGATCTACATACTTTTGGGATAAAGCACGTTTCCTATCCCTCAATTGGGGCAACTTAAGCACTCTGGTCCGCCACATAGTTAGAGGCTGCATGCAGAATACACAGAGGTTGCATTAAATTAATTAATTTAAGTCCACATCACCAAGTTGACCTATCGTACTCCCCTTCTCGCTCTCAATATCATATTCTCTCAGTCTCTCTCTCTCTTTCTCTCTCTCTCTCTCTCTCTCTCTCTCTCTCTCTCTCTCTCACTTCACTTCATTTCTAAGCTGTTATATGTTTGTCATAATCGTTAAGCCATTTTATAGTGTGGCTATAATTATTCTATTATTAAGTACCAAAACATTTGTCATGCACGCAATGCTGCCCTCATTATAATTATTGTTGCTATTGCTGCTGCTGCTGTTGCTGCTGCTGTTGCTGTTGCTGCCGTTGCTGTTGCTGCTGTTGCTGCTGCGGCTGTTGCCACTACTGGGCAGCGACTGTTTATAAGTGATTAAATGTAGCCCACGTTGGTAAACTGAATTGTGCCTCAGGAGTTGGCTTTCTGTCCATTTAAATGTATACATTTTCTATAAGTGTATGTGTGTATGCGTGTGTGTGTGAAAGTGTCTCTGTGTGCGTGTGTGTGTATTACACATGTCAGTGATTGTGTGGCAAGCGACCAAACTATTCAAGTTTGTGTGTCTATGCTCTTTCTCTCTCTGTGTTATGTGTGTGTGTGTGTGTTTGTGTTTGTGTGTAGAGGACTGTGCATGCAGTTAAACGCAAACTCATCCGCTTGGCAAATAAACATTTTAGCAAATTTACTGCCAACTGACAGCTGTCAGCTTTATAACCACCATCAAACAATGGCAGCAATATGGAGAAGCAGCGCACCACGAACAACAAACACACGCACACACACACAGCAATAGCCGAGTGCTAAGCAAGGGCGCTAGCAAAAGGTGTGCACAGACCGCAGACCTATTTGCTGAGGGGCCGGAAAGAGACAAATAGGCAGCGACAACTAAATACACACACACACACATATATATATACAGGCGGCTGCTGGAGTGGTCGGGGCACACACACACACATACGCAGGTAGAGGGCGACTGAGCAGCCTGGCATTTTCCCCACTTAACACTTCATTGAAAAACCACTCAAAAAGCCACTTTTGCAACGAGTGCGAAACCCTAAGGGGGCATGTGGCAAACACACACATACACACACACACACACACATACACACAGCAGGTGTAGGAGTAAGTAAACTGTTTTGTCTGTCCAGTTTGTTTGCCATTCGTCTGCGCCGTTTGTCTCCGCTCCAGCATTGGCAACAGCTCGTGAAATCCTTGTTGCGGCCAGCCTCCAACTTTGACTCTGACTTTGACTCTGACTCTGACTTTGACTCCGAGTTTGGCAAAGGCATTCACCTGGCTAATTATGCTGCAACTAATGAAAATTTAATGCATCTAGAACGGCTGCTGTCAAAGGCATGCTCCACTCCTGCGCCCCTGCGCTACTGCGCTCCTGCGCTCCTGCGCTGCTCCGTGTGTATTCAGCGTTTGCCCAAAAGGATTCCAGAGTTTGGTTACATCGTCCTGGCCATCCGCTGTTTACCTTTGACTGCATTTATAACACAAATTGTTGACATTTTCGCGTCAAAACGAGTTGCTCGTATTTTTATATGTTCAGGCATTTTTTTTTTTTCTCTCTCTTGTTTTTCCTTTC